ACACACACACACACACACACACACACACACACACACACACACACACACACACACACACACACACACACACACACACTTTCATTTACTCGTTCGTTATCTGACCAGCTTCAATCTTGTAGGCTACTCACTTCGTTTCTTGTAGGGTTTTGGAGGTTGATGCCTCGTTTAACGTGCGTTGTTTGGCTTTCTTGTCCGCAGCAGCAGAAAGCATTTTCGAATGTTTGAATGAATCAAAGTGGGTCGTCACCGTCGATTTTCTCTTATGCTCCAACACACAGTTGCACGGGGTGCAGAATAGTTTCCCCCCACTTTTTGCCCGGTCTTTAGTAGAAATGTTCGTAGGTAAATGAGATGGATTAGATTTTTTCCTCTTGGTGTTTTCTCTATCGTGTGAGCTCCACACGTTCACTCTATACAGTGTTGTTTACATTCTGTGATGCGCGAGCTGATGACGTCACGTCAAGACGAGTTAACTTTTTTTTTTCTCAATTTTGTGTGGAAAAATGCGGGGATTATGCGGCCTTTTGATAAATATGCGGCCTTTTACAAATCTGCGCCATTTTGCGGTAAATTCTGCAATCGCAGAATCGCGTTTTTCTGGAGGGTCTAATAAGAGAAACATTCAATGCATGTTTTCCAATGTGGGTGTAATTCCATATGTCACCATAAGGTGGCAGCCAAGACCTGGAATATTAACAAGCCCCTTTAAACAGGAAATATTCTGCAGGTCTTTTTACTTTTAACCCACTTCGCTTTTGAGCATTTTGCTTTTTCCGTGTTTAAACTGTAAGAGACTGCAAAGCACAGAGTGTCCCTTCTTAGGAACAAACAAGCCCACACACTCCTACAGACTGTTGCTCTCACCGGGTGGTAGTGTTGTCCAGTGCTGAAGACCACGCTGCAGGCGGGGACTTGTTGAGAGGAGCAGGTAGGGGGAAGGTGCTGGCCGCTACACAGGGGCGCTGCCAGACTGTGCGGGGGGACGGGGGTCACCGTGTAGGAGACCGGGACACTGGCCTGCTGCAGCTGGGGAGGGAACACACCAGTTCATATGCAGACACAATATTTCTTACAGCGGTTATACTCACGATTATATTGGCTAAAATAATAACCATTCGAAATATAATGCTGATAGTCTCAAAAGTATGGTTGAACTCCAAAATTGCGATAAGACATACTGGAATAACTTCACGTTAATTTTTTTTTAAACTGATATTTCCATTGCATTAAAATTATTTGTATAAATAAAGCATAAAAACTAAATAAATCCCATCTAAGACTAACCTGTTCATGGAGGCCCATGACCATGGCTCCTTGCTGCTGCTGGGCTGCGTGATGCTGCTGCTGCTGCTGCTGCTGCTGCTGGTGGTGGTGGTGGTGGTGGTGGTGGTGGTAAGGGTGATGATGGTGGGCAGCAGGGTGCAGTAGTCGTGGTAGGGTGGGAGGGTGGAAAGCTCGGGGCTCCTCCAGGCCCACGGCCCCGCCCCCGGCTGTGGGAGGCTGACTGTAGACGCTAGGCGTGTGTGTCGTGTACGTCTGGTGTGTGGGGGGGTGGTGGTGGTAGTTCTCATCCTGATGCTCGGATGGCGACAGGCGAGAGTGGAGTGGTGGTGGGGGAGGCAGGTGACGGATGGGTCTGGAGAGACGGCCGCGCTGACGCCTAGCTGGCGGGCTAGAGGGGGGGCGAGAGGGACAGTGTTACATTGGGTCCTCCTCCAGACATGTTTACATATGTAAAATACTATAATTAATATGACATTTAAAAAAGGGGTTATTTTATGCTCATTTTCAGGTTCATATTTGTATTTTGTGCCCCTACTGTGACGGTTTACATGCTTTAATGTCCAGGAGGGGAGTGTGTTGAGAGAAACTTTGGGATTTTAGCCTTTGCAGAGCATTTACATGCATAGAAACCCTATATAACACTACAGGACAGGGGACATGCCCAAAGAGTACAAAAGGGCCTTAACATTGTGTATCCTAGACATACAGCGTTATACGTGTTAGGTTGAACACTATACACCAAGATGGCGGAGCGGGGCTCTGGAGCATGATCCATGGAGCGTCTGGCCTTTTCATCTCCGTTAAAAGAAAGATTGAAGAGATTCAGCGACAGATGTTTGACACAGAAGAGTAGTTGGTTTTATTAGAGTCTTAAAGACAGAATGGTATGTTTAGTTTGTGGTTTTCTGTCTATATTTTCTTTTTGTATATGTTTTTTCCACTTGCAACTGGTTGACATTAATACATACATTTATATCAACAGTTTTGATGTAGAAATTGCTCAGCTATTGCATTTACTGCTTATGTCTTGTACCAGATAAAACACCATAAGTGAAGTGCGTACACATTTGAACTTTATTGGAAGTGGGCGTAACTTGGGAGTGGAACCGTGCGTCAACAAGAGGACTTACCTGCGTCTGAGCCGAGCGGGGGTGAGGTATCTCTCTTGGTGGTAGTGCGCGTGGGTGTGAGGCTGTCTCCGACTTGGGGGTCCTGACTCCCAGGGGCGGATAGGGGGAGATGGGGTGGATGGTGGGGGGACGGCTGAGGTTAGCTGTTCCAGGACAGCCTGACTGGACAGCCTCTGGCGCTTTGGACTGGGGCTTTCCTCACTCTGCAGAAGGAGGGTGGAGGAAAGAAAGTGGGATGAGTGTTGTGGTTAGTGACCCATAGCACTCGAATTTAATCAATTTCACTATGCTGCGCAGGACTACAATCCATACTGCTGCATGGACATTAAGTTCCTTTGTGACTCATGGCATTTCCTGTATGGTCCACAGTGAGCGTCTGTGTGAAAGAGAGCATATTAAACCAGCAGCACTCTGAGGCCTTCAGGGTACAAAGTCACTTCCTCTTGGAGTGAGGAAATGCAAGACAAGCACTCACAGGCCCATGTGCGAGTCATACAGAACACTCCCTCAGCAAATACTTTTTCTTGGAGACAAAACATAAAAGGCAGTGACACACGGATCCGCACACAAAAAGTGAGATAGCGGAACATGTAGCCACCCAGGTTTAGACTGACTAAAGAGTTATCATAAACTCTGCTTCAATCCCACCAACTCATCTGTGAGTCACTTCTCTTCGCAGCAGTGACTCTCACACTTGGCACTCTGTGAGGCAAGAACACACACGTTTGCTCATGTGTCAGTTGTTAGTCATTCTGCTGAACCGAAGCTGTGCTCTGAAGAACACTCCTGTTCTTTAAGGGGCACCACAAAGACACACACCTTCATAGTCACCATAACTTTCTCTCCATCCCTGATCACACACACACACACGAGAGCAGTGTGATAGCTAACAGGAAACAGCTGGAGAGCGGGCTGTAGAAATGCACAGTTATGGAAACGCCCACAGACATGCGCAAAGTCACATTTACACATGGGCAGCTGCCTCAGAGTTCTACAGCCCATAAAGAACAGTACCTTGTGAAGCTTCTGAAGAGGCAGATGCAGTTAAACAAAATGTGTTTTGACTGTTGGCAAAGCAACACTGTAGACTAACGGCTGTATGGCTCACTAGCACTGGATGTGACCTGAGCTTGAGCAGTTGATGGGAGAGACAAACAATAATAATGACTTCATTAAGACCGGACCAGATGACTGCATGATGAGAGGCCAGGATAGAAGGACAGACAATGGAAGAAAAAGGGAAGTTTCAAAAGATGGAAGAGGGGAGAAGCTTGGTGGAGCCCCCAGAGCCTGAATAATGGAACATATCTTGGGTCACAATGAGAGTCAAACATCCCTATATTGAGCTTAATGTTTAAGCTGCCCTTAAACTGTTAGGAATATGTTTCGAAATAGTATTTATTGGGGTGGGGAGGGGGGGTAATTTGATGTATGAATCAGTTTTATGATGTGGAAGAGAACGATCACTTCCTAAATATATATTTAAATACACGTCTCTCTATAAAATGACCTTTATATTGCTACTGATGGACAGTAATACTACAAAGTGAGCATTATTAAGTGATATGTTAAAAAACAAATACTTGAATTTAAATTGAGAAGTAGTCAAAAATCTTTTAGGTAAAAATAGGTAATTTGTGCAAGTTAGCATAAATAATTGTTGCCTGTGTGTGCATTACACAAATACACACTGCCTGCACACCATCATTTGCCTTTAATATCGCACAGTGAACAGGAGAAGATCCTAATCATCATCCCTATGTATTGAAACCGGAATGGATTTTGCATACATATTTAGGTAAATGAAACAAATATTCAGATACGAGTTATAAATAGATCTATAATGCATGTTCTGATAACTTAAATGAATGGCAGGCACACTATCTATGCCCATTTCTACACAGCCTGGAGGGTACCAGTGACATGCCGTCAGCCCTCTCCGTTCCTCTACACACACACACACACACACACACACACACACACACACACACACACACACACACACACACACACACACACACACACACACACACACACACACACACACACACCTCCCCCCTTTTTCCTCCGTATGTCCTATCCTGATTCCTGTCCTGTCCAAGGCCCCAAGACAAAAAGTTAGTCGACGGGACACAAACACACACTCTGTCCTCCTAACACATGCAGACTATCGGCCATTAGTATGAAAGTTTGATGGGCTTGTCTACCCGCGTTAGTGGGAGGGGGGGCAGTGTCAGACAAAGGTGTGTGTGAGTGTTCAAGCAATATGCCTTATGTTCTAACACAGTGCTTGTTGTGAACATACACACACATATCTGGTCCAACCACATTTTCACTAATGCTAGAAAAATAAAGAAGAAAAAAAACATGCCGACTCTTCCAGGCTCAAAACACACAACAGACAGACACACAGTGACTCAGGGTACTGCCCAGAAACATTGTACTCTATTACAGCACATTCTGCAGTGCTCAGTGAGGAGACCACACACACCCCATTCCTTTGACTGGGTCCACAACAAACACACACACACACCCCTGAGTACAGACACACCCTGTCGTGCTCTAGTTCGCCATGTCCACATTTGGGATGTGCATGTACACACTCGCAGTAACTGTGGCCAGCAGCTGTTGTTGCTTCGCTGTCAGTGCTGAGAACCAAAATAAAGAGCAGGCTCTCGGAGTGCATGCAAACACTCGCAGAAGACAGTGAGCCCGGGGTCTCTTTTTGCTCGTATTCAGAAAGATTGCAGCGTGAATGTGAAGACGGAGCAAATATGATCATTTGCTTCTTTATAGATTAATTCATATTTGCTTCCACTCAAACACTTCTCCCCACCCCCACTTATTTTCTTTTCTTTCCATCAACAAGATTTCAAAGCCCATTTTGTTTCCTCTGCCACTGTTCCTCCCTCCTTTTCCTTCCCTCACTCCAACCCAGTCCCACAGCTGGAGGTGAAATCATTAGCAATACCCCCTCCCTGTTTTTCAACCCTCCCTCCCATCCTCCCTCTTCCTCCAAGCTTTCTGCAACACCTTCCTCAGCATCCTGCCTCCCTTCTTCTCCTCGTCACCCGTCTGCTGCGTCATCTGCCTGTCTTTCAACACAGGGCCTTGACTTGTGACCATGACTCATTTACTGAAGAACACTTGGGTTTTCAATTATAATTATATTAACAACATGACCTTTTTTGTGACAACTGCTATGATTGACATGGCAATATTGCTAGCATAGTCAGCTCCTACAATTTCATTGAGAATCAAGAAAAAAAAACTATTGTGTGGCGTAGTATTGAGAGCACAATTTCACATGGAGAATTTGTGTCAACAAACAAACTTTACATTTCTCCACCCTTTGGGGGAGGCACACTTGTATAATGTATAACGTATAAACATTTGGGAAAGCAGAGTTCAGATGTGCAATCTATGCTGTGTTTGAGTTTTTCAAGAAGGTAAAAGCATATACAGAAGAAACCAAAGAGCATTGACATACTGAACAACATCAGCCAGTAATTCTCTGAGCCAGAATAGCTCAAATTCCACTGAAAAACAGACATACCTTCGAAGCTTTTCATTGAGATTTTATGCCTTCTTTTATCACTTTATTTTATTTGAAAATAAATCATTAGAATAATATCCCAAAAATATAAGTTCTACCTTTACTTTATAACTGTAAAGTAAGATGGCGTCACCAAAACTAAAATAAATATAGCCATGTTTACTGAATGTATTCAGCCTCCTACTCCTACACTGGGTGAACATGACACACATTGCACTCTGCATTAGAACGCGTACACACTCATTTGAAAACACAAACACTTTACAAACTAGTCTGGTTTAGTGCGTTTAATTCCTTCACACAGCATCGGCTTAGAGAAGATATCATAACATGTAGACATGACACAACATGATCTAAATCTGGCTTAAAAACCTTTCATATATGTAAGATGGTGTAACAAATAATGTTGAAGGTGCTTGCTTACCTTATCACTCTCGTCTCCATATGCATGATCTGGATGGCAGTGGTAGGACCCTCCAGAGGCTCCTACAGAGGGGGGAAGCAGAATACAACAAGGTCACACAGGGAGACAACAATATGGCTACAATCTGTTAAGTCTGGCGTTTATTATCTACACTCCTATTTATTATATTACTTGAATTAATTCATTATTCCTATGGAGAATTTTAGCTTGGGGTGTCACATTCTGGGACATGTTAACATATTTTAATGCTCTTTCTTTTTCTCATACTGCCTGTTGCAGCACCTCTTTTCACCCTCTGTCTGAAACCAGAGCCCAGTCTGCTCCGATTGGTCAAACACTTAGAAATGTCCCGCTCAGTAGCCTATCAAGTACCATCCAAACCATTGACATGCACCATAACCTATACAACACAAGAAAGGGAAAACCCAAAATATAATAAAAAAGGAACCCTTTAAGATATTTTATTTAAAAATACATCAAGGCATTCAATAGTTAGAATGCCTTGTAAGATCAATACTTACAGAAAATATAGGATGTATCACTAATCTGCCACACTGATACAATATTGCCAACACCACAATGGTTTTTTTCTAAATGTTATTTCGATTTTTCAATACGGGCCTCAACCAATGTGCATCTGGCTTAAAAACAAGGCCAATATATAAAGTCCCTTTTTCTAAACATTCCCCAATTTGTAGAAACAAGCACACAATGTCTGGTCCTGTTCTGCGTGAATTCTGTTAACTGGCCTGAGCGGTTCTATCAATGTGTATCATTTGAAATACAGAATACAAAAACATGTTGTTAATACCTATTGTTGAAATAGATAGCACCATTTATACCCAAGCACTGGGGAGACTCCCGTGTATCTACATACAGTACGCTTAATCCTTTTGTGGTTTATTGTTCTCGTGGATTTAATACACAGCGGCAAAAACACTGACAACATGTTTGTGCGGAGGGATGTTGACCATGTGTAGTGCTCAGAAGAAACACATATGGTGTGCCATCAGATCAGAGGCAACACACACAGTAATCCTGGATTAGAGAAGCTTTAGGATGATACCGCTATGACTTTTACTCTTTTGTTTTTCCACAATCCTTTCATCTTTTTATTGTCTATTCAATGCTAGCTTTTGTTTTGCCCTTTGTGGTGGGCACGTCTTTAGCTGGGGACGTCCCCACCACAGATGGAGGCAGCGGTGTACACATCAAGGGTAAGCGATCTCAAGGGCACTCCAGATAAGGCTACCTTAACATTAGAGATGAAGCAAGCTGAAGTAGAAGGGAAAAGATGCCAAAAAAGCCTTTTTTTAAAAAAAGGAGTTGTGGTATTTTTCCCGCTCACATCCTCCCTCTTTGAAGAAAATGTGATTGACAACAAAGAAGAGATGGGGGAGAAAGAAAAAGAAAGAAGAGGCAGGCACAGTCAGGTTTTCACAACTGATCCATGAAAAAATTCCTCTCCAATCCCTAGAGCAAGGCAAAATAAATGGAATTGAAAAGGCTGAGTTAAGTAAAGCTTACATTAGTATAGTGAAAACCGACTAAAAGGCTATATACATATATATTATATGAGATGGTTTGAGACTGATTGCTGGTGAGGCATTCATGGGACTCTCCGCTCTTCTCTAAAACACTCATTCACCGATCACAATGGGCAAACATCCAGCTTCCTCCCTGAATATGGTCTCACTTGCACATTGTCAGAGTTCGGTAAATGGAGTCAGAGACGAGTCATTCAGTCAGAGTCACTCTATAGAGCCCAACACAGAGGCTGCAGGACAGGTTTCAAAATGTGCGGATGACATCATGTCCACTGTTGGACGAACAGACTGCACACTCGCAGTTTAGTTTCAACACTTTAGGGCCTCGAGGAAAGTGGAATAGTAGGATGACGGTATGGATTTTAATGTGTGAACACAGTCAATACCTCTCATAACATCTAGGCCGTTAAAGAGAAAAAAAAGATAATATAGGCAATTTTCCTGAATATTATAACCCATTTACCGACCCTAAACATAAATCGCAAACTATCTCATCAAGGTAGATAGCGGAGACTTAACGGGGCCCTAGCACCTCTTTTTACCCTCTGTCTGAAACCAGAGCCCAGTCTGCTCTGATTGGTTAGCTGGCCGACTCGGTTGCAATTGATAAACGGCTTAAAGATGTCCCGCCCGTTAGTCAATCATGTTCAATGTGTTGGAGCGCTGGCCAATAGACGTGCGAGAGTGATGTCACTATGTCGCAGAAGTTAACAAAGTAGTCAAATCGTGTATATAATCGATATACATGTATATCCGAAATGTACATTATTCATTTAACTATCATATGCTTCATATGTTTGTTATGGATAAGTTTCATGTACAGTAACCATTTGAAGACTACCCTTTATTGGACCATTTATAGTGAAATGTTATTACTTCCCTACGCATGTTGAGAAGAACACATTGATAGACGTTGTGTACATGCTTTAAGAAGACTACTGCGACCACAAGAGTGAAAAGCAAAACGTAGTTCAAAAGAGATGGTGTCCTTTATAAAGAGAGGTGTGATGCGAGAAGGAATCCTTTTAACCGGACGGTTCGAGAGTAATTCTACGCAAAGAACACTTCCCATAATCGGCTAAATGAACGACAATAACAGAAGAAGAAAGAAAGAAATGTGTGATAAACATTTCTATCTTCACATAGTCGTGGAAGTCCACCACAATAAACAATCACAATCCTTCTGACGCAAGCAGTAGCCTGTAGAAGAAAAGAGGATGTCTCTGAAAGAGGGTCAAAGACAAGACCAGGAGCACAACCGTGATGGAAGGTGAGGATGGGGGTGGGGGGGTGTGAAGGAGAGAAACAACAGGGGAAGAGAATGTGGGGGGACAAGAAGAGGGGAAAGTGGCGGTACAGAAGAAGAGGATGGAAATGCACATAAAGGGGTGAGAGCAGTGAGGAGGAAAGGGAGATGGGAAAAGATCAAGAGTGGAGAAGAGAAAAAACACAAGGAAGGCAAGTGGAGGGGGGAGAGAAGGCGAGGGAGTGAGGGTGGGGGTTGAGGCTTCCCCTCTTGACTGCTATTGATTTTCTGTAAGCCTCAGAGTGCATCAGCTATTTCTATCCATTTCCTCCCTCCCTCATCCCTCCATCTCTCTTTCTACCCCCCCCCCCCCTCCTGCACTCAGCCCAGACACCCTCCCTCGCACATCCTCCTCCTCACACTCTCCATCACCACCCCTCCCTGCCACCGATCTATTTCCCTATCTGCCGGCCTGTCTCCCTCTTCCCCCGTATATCTGGCAGCATCCACATTTCCCTGCTATCCCTATCGCACCATCTCCGCCCATGATCTCCCATCACCCTCGGTCTGTCGCAATCTCCTATAAAACTTCCCTTCTTGTGTCAAAGCAGAAAAAGCACAGGGGAAAGTGGGTGGAATAAAAGCTGTGTGGATAGATAAGATGATAGATAAGTGACAGGCCCTCTTAACAAATCATGAGGAACAAATAGGGGGAATTGGACAGAACGCTGCGGAACGTGTACCAGTTTACATTTTTTTTTTTAAAGTAATTTTAGCCAGGCATATGTGTAACACACACACCCCGCCTCCTGAACACATGTCACAGCACACTTCGCACCCTATTGCTAAAGCAGAGTCGAGTAACAAGCTGGCGCACGGGCTTAAAATAGGCACGGTGTAGCGTCTGCCCAGCCATTACCTGGCTAGCACGGCTTCACACGGGCCTGATGGCAAACGTGAAGAGGACTAATTCTCTCCTCCTCCAGCTATTTAGTGTTCTTATTACCTTCCTCTGTTCTGCAACTGCTCCTCTCATGTCTAAAAACTGCCAACACGTCCCGCGGAAAAGGCGCAGGTACACGCAAAATACTTGATCGTGGAGTTAAAATGTGATTGGACAGCTTTGAAAATAAGAACGCACTGAACAGAAAACCAGTTTTGAACCCTAAAAAAAAAAGTACATAAAATTGGCAAATAAATGCAATAACTTCTGCTTCCTTGAACAACCAATCACAGCTGGAGGAAACACACAGCACTGCAAATACACAGGATATGCAGTTGAGAGGCTGAGAGTTAAAGATACCCAGAAACTCTTTCTTTGCATCTCTTCCTGAGAAAGTTGCACGTAACCATTACTCATTTGATACTTTACTATTGATTCATCTGCCGATGTTTTTTAGATAAATTGGTTAGTCAAATAGCATAAAATGGCCATCGAAAGCATCCAAGTGACATCTTTAATTGTCTTGTTTTCTAACCCAAAAGAAATGACACAATTATGTTGTCAAATGTAGAAAAGCAAGAATTCTCAACATTCAAGACATGGAATACAGTGTAATTTTAATGATAACTCGATTAAGAAAATAGTTGGCAGAAATGTCTGTCAAACCAGTATTTATTTTATTCCAACAATCATTGCAGATGTACTTGCCAATGATCAATTGATATATGTTTATCTTAGGCTTGTACTTCACTTGAACAAAATGCAGCAGTTCATCTTTGGAAATGTAAAACAGATGAATATTCTCAGATACAGGGGATCTTTAAAGACAGGATGTGTGTAAGGGTGCAACATAAAGACTCAGTGGCAGTATCAGTGCTGATATCTTGTCGTTACAATTTTGGTCACAGAACTGAGAAGCGGTGCAGCGAGACACTTGCTAATCCTAACACTCTGGCAGGCATATACAACACTGATACATCAACAACAAATCATACATTGATTTAGGGCTGCTCGATTATGGCAAAAACCTTAATCTCGATTATTTGGGTCAATAATTGATATCACGATTATCCAATTACTTTGAAAATATCCATTTATTGAAAAAAAAAAAAATCGAACAGTACATTTTTAAAAGTTGATTACCCTGAACTTTAAGTATAATTCAACTGAAAAACCAATAGAAAAATTAATTTAAAAAATAATCGTTTTATTTCGATGTTGTTTTCATAATTGTTGCAAGACAAAATTGCAATTAAAAAATTATTAATTGAGCAGCCCTACTGATTTAGAAAAATGATTTGGAAAGTAGCCTATAGCATGTTATCT